GGTACTACATTGGAAGTCCATTTTGAATTCAAAACTTTTAATTTGTCTTTGTGAGCGAAAAAAACTGCTATGTTCATTCCTTATTATGTTTAACTCATGCCTTTGTCTTTTTGTTTTTCCTCAGATACCCTTTAAGCCTGCTCACTATGGGAAAGAGTAAGTGTTGTCATTTTAAGTTTGTAAGGTTATCAGTAAGAATTATCAATTTGAAACTTTAATATAGGGCAATAGCCTATTCTTGGAAAGTTTTTGAGTAATTTTTGTCTCTACAAGGTTTCATGGATGTATATCACGCGAGGAAGCCGACGAACTTGTGTCAGAGGCAGATGGCTGCTACCTTGTGCGAGAAAGTCAGAGGTCACCAGGAAGTTACACTTTAACAATGAGGTAAAAATTAACCCTTTAATCCCTTAGAGTGATAAGCATCTAATTTCTCCCAACAGTATCACTCCTGAATCAAATATTAAGGTTATGCAAAGAAAGGAACTCAAGAAGCTCTTGATTGATTGATGAATTCTCCTTGTTACCACCACTGGAATCGTATAGAGAACAGTATAGAGAATATGCATACTGATATCAGGGTGTAAAGGGTATATATAGAAAGTAGAATATGGGGGAAATAATTATTTGAGTTTCTCTGCTAGGTCAAGCAGTAGTTTCTTTTGGATAAGTGTTTGAGTATACTTTGCTTCAAAAAATATATATTTTGCCGCTGATGCACACATCTTTTTTGTCGATTCCCTTCCCTTTCAGATTTGGTGGAATTTCAAAGAATTTTCGTTTGTATTATGATGGACTTCACTATGTAGGTAAGTGAATACTGTTTTCCCTTTTTCCTTATTTCTCCTCCTTTTTTACTCTTGTGCACATTTCTGTTGAAAAAGTGTGATAGTGAGAATTTGTACTTTACATGTAGGGCTGACCCAATTATAAGGCAAACACTTTAACTCCTGGACCAAATTTGTAATTCTTCTTATTGTCAACCATACAAATCTTGTAATGTTAGTTCAGAGAATTCAGTATTGGATCAATTAATTATCCCCAAATTGATATTTTCTTTATTCTCATAACTTTCTGGTTGATGTTATATTGATCTTGTAAGGAGAAATTCTCTCTTGGTCACTTATGGGAGTTAAAGGGTTAAAATCCAACAGCCTTTTTTTTCCAACACATCCTTTTCATTGGAAATGATAAAGGTTTCAACTAAAATGAGGAAATAGTAAACAAAGAGTGAACTCTTTGACTCCTAAGAGTGACTAGCATCTAATTTCTCCTTGCAAAATAACTTCTGAAT